ACTTTCTAAGTCAACAAAAAAGTGGTAGCCGCTGATAGTTGTACTGTAAACCAAGTGTACCGACCAGCTTGTTCAAAGCTCCGTATACTGAGGAGCACATTGCACATGGTTTTGTTCAGATTGCTTTGTCCTAGCAAGAGTTATTACAGAATATTTGGGGCCTCTTTCGAGTGAATCTCCCTGTATAATGCAATACTTCTAACTGGATAAAAGCATTACTCATCTCATTTATTTTGTTACAGTAATGCAAAATAAGTTCTTTTTGACATCACACAAACAAATGTAAATAAAAACTTTCTGACCAAAACCACTTCAACACATTTCAGGCAATACTCATCACCTCTGAAGTTGTGTGTAAGAACTTTAGAGGAACACCTGAAGGCAATGTTAAACTGTGCAAGCCTCTGATCCTCCCTTCTCCACCCCTGATTTAGAAGTTACTGAAAACACATGAAAGAGTAAACTCATGATCACGTGAGAACTGGGAGGTGTGGGAAGAAGCTCAGACTTCTCCATGTTGTTATTCCATGACATCATTTCAACATGGCAGCCAATAAAACTAGAAATGCTAGCATGATTAAAGCCTTTTAAAGAGATTTTTGAGTGTTTTCTATCATTCCTTATCTTTGTGTATCACTATTTGTGTACAATGTTGATAAAAACAGACAGATTCTTGGATAATTGTAAGGTTAAGCTGTTCTGTGCATGATTCTGAACTGCATACTTTCATGCCTATGTCCACTTTTTTTAAGCAAATGTAAACACTTTAAGGAACTTTTTATATCCACAGTCTGTGAGAGTTTGCATGAACGCTTTTAAGTGGGAAGTACGAGATTCAACTTTGAAAATTCTCTAGTAATCGCGACATGAAGGCCGCATAAATCATGCAGTTAACTGATGAGCTGAATGAGGTGTGTTTGAGCAGGAAAATCATTAAACTGTGCAGAAATTTCACAATCCAGGACCAGAGTTCCCCGCCCCGGTTCTAGATTGTTCTACTGGCTGTTCCCTGAAGCTGGAGCAGACTGACCCTCAATGCCATCTGAATATGCAGACAACAGAGAGAACACCTGAGGGCAGTTAGCCAGCATTTATAAGTGTGTTACAGGGCAGAGCTCAAAAGATCAGAAACTGATGTAATGCTTGTGGAAACAGAGACTGTGAAAACAAGAAAATGACTGAATTTATGAAAAAATGAGGAAAAACTAGAAAAGCTCAGCTAAAGGAAAAACAGCCCAAGGCTCTCTATATGAATATAAAAATCCAAAGGAAATGAAAGGCAACCTTAAGGTAACTTTACAAACCTTTATTTTACCCAGCTTCATCAAATCATTTATCATGTTTCTACAAAGGCAATGATATTTGTTTTAAAGGAAATGTTTCATGTGGAATGAGCACTTTTTGGCTGAGAGCTCTCTCTCTCTGTGTGTGTGAATGTGGGAACATGTGTTGAGACTGAAACCAGTGAAAGTGGTTTAGTGTTGTGAGAATAAAGAAACAAGCTAAAAATGATAAGAAATTGGCATGAAAACAGACTGTGGCCTGTGTTGTATTTAAAGTGAGGGCCAAAGTCAAGGTTGTCCATTTTCTCCACTATTTTGTTTTTCATTTATAGCAAACTAAAAGTAACTTTCACTGAACACAAACTTCAGCTTGACACCTGTGCTGATCAGCTTGTGCCACCTCCTGGACACAAAAGGGAGTGCATGCACAAATAAAGTCCCTTCTACATTTTTCTTTTGTATTTTCAGAAACAGAGTCAGTAATAAACATGAGGCCATAGGCAGGTTGCAGGTCACAACATCAATTAGCAGCTCATTTGTTTAAAAATAAATACCAAATAAGTTTAGAGGTGCCATGGAGTAGAAAACTGTATTTACATTGGATAGTTGAATAAGGAGAGGTCAGTACACAGAACTGACATACTATGAACCTCGAACACATTTGCAAAAAAGGGCGGTAAAATGGGCCGATTCCAAAAACCTAAACTGTTACATAACAGTCTTGACTCATTAATATATGCCCTCAAAATTTACATACACCAGCCCACGATCTAGCCAAGCAGGAGACAACGACAATGGAGTGACAGCAATGGAAATGGCAGACCTTTTGCAGAAATGTACCATTCCAGGTTGTGAAGGGATGTCGGCACTTTGCATATTCGGACACAATTAATGATCATCTTTAAAAACGACTGAAATTTGTTCCTATTCACCAGCTTCTTAATCATTTTTTTTGTTCCACCTTAAATGCTACAGCTTGTACGTGAGCCAGAACGTAATTGCGGCACCATTTAAGGTGGAACAGAAAGTTTGCAAAACAAGCTTGTGAAAAGGAGGCCAACAACTTCATTCAAAGTTGTTAGTTTGCTCTGCACATTTCACTCCAGCCAGTTTCTCAAACCTTGGACAATATCGAGCAGCTTCACTCAGCTTTTGAGAATGCAGAGACTGGAGAGAGGGCAGAGACTGGAGAGAGGTCAGAGACTGGAGAGAGGGCAGAGACTGGAGAGAGGTCAGAGACTGGAGAGAGGGCAGTTTCAAACCCCAACAACAACCTGTAAGTAGCAGCCATGCTGTGTGATTTAGTCCACTTTTTGAAGATTGAAGCCAGATCATCTTAAACTGAGAGTTTCATAGTGAGCTAACAACTCTAATCTACTTTGTATTTTTGTTCAGATTGTAAGCAAGTAGCTAGTACAGGTAATGTTAGCTACCAGCAAGCTCCAAGTAACTAGCAGTGATGGACGAAGTACACAAACTATGTTCTTGAGTTAAAGTAGAGATACCCAAGGTAAAATATTACTCCAGTAAATGTAGAAGTTCCTCCCTTTAGACCTCCACTTGAGTAAAAGGACAAAAGTATTTGCCTTCAAATGTACTTAAGTATCGAAAGTAAAAGTACTAAAAGATTAATTATGACTTTAATGTCCTATTATCATTTTTGTAACAAGACTCTGCTTGCTTCATTCACTTATTTTAGGTGAAAATATTCCAGTGTCACTCTTGGTAAACCAGTCTTTTAACAGAATGTGATTAATTAGTCTGACGCTGCTGTCTATTAAAATTATCACAAGCACAAAACACTGAAGGCAAACTGTTTCCATTAGGTAGAACTGAGTGGCTCTGAAATAACTTTTTACAAACAAGCAAAGTTTCAGTTTAAATGCAACTTAGTTACATTTTAAGTTGAATAAAAACTTGCTTTAAACTCAGATTCACTAATGAGTTTTCCTTTACTATACTGCACCTGTAGGTCTCTGTTCATAAACATAAACTATCCAAGACAAATTTACTATAAAATGAAATAGTGTTTGAATAAGTTCAGAAAAAAAGATGTCAGTCACAACTGCATATGTGTACATTAGGGGTGGGAATCTTTAGGCACCTCACAACTCGATTCGATTACGATTCAGAGGGCTGCGATGCGATTATAAAACAATTATTGATGCATCTCGATACATCTTTTTTTTCTACACATGATCTCTATTTTCTTACTGTCTGAGGACTTGGTAGTTTTAAAACAAAGTATTTGTAATGATCCATAGTGCATTTACGTCCAATATCTTTTAGAAGTAAATCAAATGGAAGTGATGTGGCAAGACTGAGGAAGACTGCAGGTCACGTAGCAACAAGGTTTCGTCTGGCTAGTAGCGAACGAAAAGGAAAAGAGAAAGATAGACGAACATTGGGAGATGAATGGACCATATAAATTGGCATTTATAAGCAGCGCCGTTGGTTTCCTGATACGTTAAATCTGCAACGACAGACGGTCGAACACTAAAAAGCTGTGAAGATGAAGTCGCTTCTGTTTCTAATTTTCCGGTTCCACCTTAAATGGTGCCGCAATTACATTCAGCGTCTCAGTCAGAATTTAAGGTGGAACCGGAAAAGTTCAGCAAGAAGCTGGAAAATGAGAAGCGACTTCAGCCTCGTAAAACAACTGAAAGCTGAAAGACATTTTACAAGAAACTATTCAACTTTTGAGGAAAAGTTTTCTGGCGGAGATGTGAGGAAAGCGGCTAAAGCTAAAGTTTAAAGCAGAGCGAAGTAAGTCTGTGTTTTTAAATGAAATATTTAGAAAATCGATTTGTGAATCGATTCAGAATCGTTCACGTCTGCATCGCGATGCATCTAAGAATCGATTTTTTCCCGCACCCCTAGTGTACATATTTCTATATTGTGGTCTATTTACACAAAGTTAGGTTAGTTCATCATTTATCTTGAATAGACTCTCCCAAAATTTTATGCTGCTGCACTGACGTTGAACTGTGTGCTTGCACTGTGTCGGTATGTCCAACAGGTCAAAACAAGCTCAAAACAAAGTGCGCGCTGTGCCCTGATTGGTGTTCTTGCTTCGCGCTTCTTTTGTTTTGACGTTTTGTTTTTATACACACATAAGGCAAAAGGAACGACAGATTTCTCATAATGTAGTGGAGTAAAAAGTAAAATATTTGACTTTGAAATGTAGTGGAGTGAAAGTAAGTCACCCAAAAAAAAAAACTACTTAAGTACAGTAACGAATTACATTTACTTCGTTATTGTCCACCACTGGTAACTAGCATAGCTAACTAAGGAGTAAATAGCTTATAGTTTTTATTTTATTTTTCTGTCTGTGTATATTCTGACATGTTGCTTTTGCATGAGCCATCACGGTGCCTCGCTGTAAACCAAAAAAATCAGAGCAGAGCTCATCAAATTATTCAAAAGCCGCCCAAAAAAAGGGAAAACAGCTCATTTTATTCGAGAGCCAAATCATGGGGCTGTAAATAGGCATATAAAACTGCCTCTGGGAATTATTCCCCCCGAACAAAATCACATGTCATCTATGTAGAGATCAGAGAGCAATTTAAAATACAGAATAAATGCATTCTTTGACACGTTGGCACGCATGTAGATAAGTGTTTAAATGTGCATGATTATTCTTTGGTGTCAATATATGGGGTAAATGAGGTCTGGTTCTCTTAATATTATAAGTATTTAGTAGTAAGTAGTAGTAAATATTTCCCCCCTTTTCCTTCGTAAAATGTAACATGAAGGTCTTTGTTCTGTTTGATGTAGGTGATTAACCAGGTCACAGACCTGTGGTGGTGGTGGTGGTGGTGTGGGGGTCCCGTTAAAATATAGGCATCACATTTACTGAGATATATAGATTGAACGATTCAGTGTACAAAGAAGTAAAAGAAACATTTAATACAAAATCCAAGGCTTTTGAAATGACTGACCCACTATTCTGACTGACACTTATTTAAAGAGTGATACTTGTGGCATTAAATTCGTCCTTTACATGGCTGAGGCCAAAAAAATAACCTAACATTGCAGTGGCAAAGGTGTAGTAATGTTTAAGTGAAATTCATGCGTAAGACATAGATATGCTGGACAATATCAGTAAAGCTGTAATACCACTGACTCTAACAAGACTGACAAAATTAATGTCCTCAGTTAATGTCCTCTTGAGAAACGACAGAGAAACTTGTTGTCTCAATATTGCTTACTTTGCTTATTTTTTATTTGTTTATTCATTCATTTGAAGATTAATCAGAAGATTGGCTCCTGAAGCATCATTTAACCCAACTGTTGGTTCAGTAGGGGTTGTTCATGGTGTGCTTCATGATGACCTTGAGGGCCCGCCACGTCTCTTTAGCGGTGGGGATGATCTGATCAGCAGGCAGGAGGAAACCGTAGGGACTGGACTGCAAAGGTCTCAGCTCAAAGGTGTAGGAGTACTTGATGCCCTGGTCATAGCTCCAGTCAATGGAGCCACCACTAGCTTGGTCTGAGAGATACAATTGAGAATTTGATTAGATGCAGATCAATATGAAATATGATGAAATCAATATGAAACAGGGTGATTTCATTACTGACACAATAATCTTTATATGCTTGGCAGCTGTATTGCTTGGATGTTCTGCACTATTAAAATGAAATCAGCCCTGATATTTGGGGTTTGGAGAGTTTATTCTAGAATTATTTTAAGGGACCTGCAGCTGCTACTCAGACATGATAAACCCTAAAAACAATCAATAGGGTGCGTCAAACACTTCCAAATATTGATATTTGCACTCTGTAGATGTACTTCCATGTACAGTCTGTAAAGCAGGCCTGGATCCCAGATCAACCAGATCCATTTCTCAAGTAACATTGAGTTTTCTGTGTTTTTTCAGGAATTATTGAGGTGTATTGAACTGATTGGCATTTAAAAAGGCATTTGTATTAGTCTGTATGCTGTAGTGCAGGAATAGATCCTTCACTGGTTTTACAGAATTTACTGTTATATATGATGCTATACAGACTGTACATGTTTTCGTTTATCAATGTTCTCTCAATACCCAGCGTGCATTGTGCAAATACATCATATAGCCTTTGGGAATCCCTACCAGTCCTGACTTTTAGCCTAGCCACTAAGCTATAGGCTAACAAAACAATCAAGCTAGCATGAGTGTAATTCTTACCTCAGGCTTTGAAAAAAAATTGTAAAGAAAGCAGCAATTCTATCTTTATTCAGCAGAAAATGGGCACCAGTGACATTTTTACCCTTAAAGCCAGAAAAAACAAAGGCAAACTGAGGTAAGGCATTTAGATAACCAGGTAGCGACCTTATTAACTTTTAGCTTGTTGTTCAACTTGGAAGTGGATGGATTAAGCTCTAGCTCTGTTCTACTTACAAATGACATTGATGATGCTGCCATATGTGTAGCTCGTGCCATACAGACCCTTCAAGGCAGCAACTGCCTTCCTTGCCAATTTATGCTGCAAGAACATAAAAAGAAAGTTTATCATGTAACACAAAGCACTGAAAGACCTGAACTACTAAGTGTCATGTGAAAAGAAGAAATGAAGTTCTATTTTTCAGGTCTCACCAGCTCTGCCTGGTCCCTGCAAGGAGTCGTGGTGTAGCCGTAAGGGTAGAGCAAAAATTGAGAGTAGCTGTGGATGGACACAAAGGCTTTCAGGTTGCCATGAGACTTAACAAAGTCCACAATGGCCTTTACCTCAGATTCTGAATGGGCATAGGGTCCACGGTAGGTAGCATGACATGGGTTGTTACTGGAACCAGGGCCTGGAGATCAAAGTGCTTAGATCTTTAGCTTGATGTATTATTGTACATAAACTATAAAAAAGTCAGTATAGCTTTGTATACAGTACCTCCAAAGTTAGAATCCCAGTTCCTGTTGGGGTCAACTCCAACACAAGGCGATCCAGGATTGGGCTTCCTTGTCTTGCGCCACATGCGGTCCTAAACACATGGCAGATTAGAAGAACCATCATTTATTTGGTTACTGTGATGGACCTAAAGCGTGTGACAGATCTTCTATGTAGGTTAATGTTTTTCTGAACATGTGAGGGCTCACAGAGGTGTGGGTGAACTGGAATCCATCAGGGTTGGTGACGATCTCCAGGAAAATGTCGAACTTATTAAGGATGGCAGTGAGAGCAGCATCACGGTTATAGGAAGCCGCAATCTGCACAATGAGACAGCCATGCGTTACAGCTAAATGATACACATACTTTCAAATGAGTTTTGATTCACCTCAGGATCTTATTAATATGAGTTAAAACCTTCTTGGCAAACCAGGTTCCACAGGCCTGGGTGACCCATTCTCTGGAGTGGATGCCAGTGTCAATCCAGATACCAGGGCGGTTAGGACCAGTGCTAAACTATGTGAGAGAGCAAACAAAACATAACTTAGAAGAAAAGGATAAATTTGCCTACAAACAAAAGTAGTTTCATGTTCCACACCTCATTCTTTCCCCAACTGTTTTACTGTGCAGTCAAAAAAAAAAGATTTTAATGACATATTAAAAACATTAATTAACAGTAGTGACTTACCTTCAGAACATTCAAGGGACGGCGCTCGTAGCTTTGACCAATCACAATTTTGCTAACTAATTTAGGGTTCTCCTTCACCAGCATGTCAATGAAGGTATAAATCTGAAAGTCAGAGCTACATGGTTAGAACTGCAAATCTGATGGTCAGTCAGAGGTCAAACATCAGTGAACATTAATTTACATAAACATGTTTATGAATCAATATCCCTTTCCTGTTCCTGCAACACTTCGTTTGATTAGTCGCTGCCATCTGATCATGGCATCAGTGTGTGCTAACTACTCCTCCCTGAGCCACTTGAAAATTCATAACATCAAGTAAAACTGTTCATGTAATCTATCCAGGATGAACATGAAGATAAAAGTCCTGGGTCAAAATTTGAAAATCTAGTGTGGATCATCATGAATATGATTCACCTCAATCAACATTAGTAAATCTGTTCAGGGTCAATATGAAGATAATGGTCCTGAATAGATTTACTAACGTTGATTCAGGACAATTATCTTTATGTTATTATTAGTAAATCTATTCAAAATCAACAGGAAGATGGTGGTTCTGCATCACAATATGCAGATCTACTCAGGGTTAATATGACATTTGTAAATCTGTCCAGGATCAATATAAATGGTCTCCAGCCAGCATTTCCAAATCTGTTCAGAATTAATGGTCCTAGATAAACATTAATACATCTGTCCAGAATCAACAATGTAGATGATGGTCTTGAAACAACATTACTAAGTTTATTCAGGATCAACATGAAGATGGTGGTCTTGAATGCACAATAGTAAGTTTACCCAGGATAAACAGGAAGATAATGTGGAACAACATCAGTAAATTTATTCTACCTAAGAGAGCTGACATGGTTGACTTCTGATAAAGACAATCAGTGTTTCGTTTTGTTCAACAAACAAACATTTCTGCTCATGAATTTGGTCATGAATTGTTGAGCTGCTCACACTGATGAAATCAGATGGCTGTGAGTGGTTAAAAGAAAGCTTGTTCCAGGAACATGTCTGATTTTGAAGAAATCAAAGTCGTCATCTACAAGTCGTGTAAGACATTAGTAGAATAGTTCTGACCTCATCCAGGGTGTGGTAGTTGGTGTAGTCAAAGTCCTTAGTGGATTTAGGCTGATGAGCACGAAAGCGCATCATCTCCTGCTGTTCCTCATCCACAAGGTCCTGGTGGAAAAAGAAAGTTTAAATGAGTTATTAGAAGTTTATATTCACTTCTACTCTATGTGTTAATGCTTTTAGGCTTTTAGAAATAGACATTACAATTTTGGTGAGGTGGGTCAGCGACTCAGCGGTCACATTAAAATTCATGACTGAGAGCACAACTTTTTTATGGATAAAAAGAGAAGATCTCAGATATTTTGGACATATGAGAAATTTGTTTTCCAACACACTCAAAATGTATACTCTTTTTTTACGAAACTGTTTTGATTAGCATAATAATAATAATAATAATAAAAATAATACTCAAAACTTCCCAACCTGAAGATCCTGGATCATGATTTCATAATGGATCTTGTTGTTCTTCAGGAAGCTCTTGACCTTGTGAAGACTGGTTGAGGGAACATGAACATCAACAGGCAGAGACTCGTGAACGGGCTCCCTCCAGAAGTCCAGCTGCACACAGGTGGACAGACACATGCAGCACATTGATATTTTACATGCAAACGCTAATGATATATAAACTACCTACAACATTCAGGAAGAATTTTACCTCAAGATATTCATGATCAGTCAGGTTCTTCAGCAGAGAGATCTGAACATCATTGACTGCAGTGATCCGCAGGACCTGGTGTCTGTTAATGTCAAGTTCAGTAATTCATTGACTTTTCTTACCGGTGATTAAAACACAATGTTTATCATCACTGATGAAGAATAGTTGTTTAGGAGAACCAAAACTTAACCTTGATTGCATGTTTTATTCTATTCTACTAAGAACTTATTCTCTTATTCAAATTCTATAAAGCAAAAAAAAGATTGTGTTCCAACAGTGATGATATGCAAGTAAATATTAATACAAATTTCTGATATATATAAGCTTATTTTGAACACATACCCTTCAAAAGTCTTCCTGCCAAAGACGGCCAAAAACAGAGATGCCAAAACCAACAGCTTTCTCATTTTGCCTCCTGTAGCAGAGCTGCTCTGTGACTTTAGCCTTATATACTGTTTCTACTCTGATGGGATGGTCTGAGCTGTTGCACAGAACTGACAACAGAACAGTTCCTACTTTTCTTCGTGAACAGACTAACAAACAAACACAGTTACACAATAACAGTCCTAACAGCCTAAATAAGAAATAAATAAATAATAAAGTTTGCCACATTCAAGTGTTGCTTAGATGATTATTTTCATCAGTACTATTACATATTTATTATACATGTTTAATATTATGTTATATATTTAATATTTACCCTGTTAGTTCAATTTAAACTTTACAATTTTATATACAATATTATAGCACATGCATAACATAGAGCAAATATGATTATATAACGATTTAGGTTACATACAGTCTATATACAGTGCTCCAACAAAGTCCTTTGACCCTCCCTGAACACCATTTTTATCTTGTTTATGTATTTCATACTAAGATTAATTTATCATTTATTCATTCATATTCAATTATTCATCAGAGTAGCCTGGTCTCAAGATGAATTAGTACATATTTGACTTATATTAGACCATTTCCCAGGATTTGTACAAAGTGAATGAAATAGTTCGCCTTTCATGGATATACACGTTAATTTCTGACACCAACGTGAAAAATCAAGAGAGGTCGTAACAACCAGCCATGAGAACTGAATCTCTAAGACTACAGATGATCTTGTAAATAAAGCTCAAGTAAGACAAGTAAAAGTACTGAAATATTATTGTCTCTTTCCTTTATGCAGATCAGTATTTAATATTTTGTTTAAGTCAGCATTTTGTTGCATGTCTTTTCATTTGGATGACAACTTTAAATCTTCTAGGAATGGAGTGAATGAGATTGGACATCTGATACTCAGTCAGGCTTGCTGGATGTTGTTTTGGATGGTCAGAGTGAGGCAGGTTTTGAGCACTTCCTGTCTCCCTCTACCACTTCAGTGTGTTTTATTCTTGATATTGGAGTTTTCAGCATATCTTTAATCTTTCTTACTGACAGTTTTTACCATTTTTTCAGTTTTTTCACATTTTCTTATTTTTCTAACTTTCTCTGTTTTTCAGAATGTTAATTTAGAAAGCTGATTTAATTTAGTCAGCTGTGCTGGATGCTGCGTCAGAGAGCTCTGGTTTGAACATGTGCAGGTGGATTAGTGTTGCAGCATCTGTTTTAAGGTAAAACTGGGGATTGGGTGACTGGCTTGAAGAGGGAAACATGAAATCAGGGTAAAATACAGAACTGGGCAGGCAGATTGAGTCTGTAAGTAACATCATTGATTCTTTTGACTACTTGAAATCAACCGATGTACTTGGGCTACAAATGAAGACTACTGGTCTCCAGGCTGATAGGAGGGGCTCTCCACAAAACGCTTGTCTGCCTGCTCCTTGGCAAGCTGGAGAGCCGCCTCAATGTTACAAGTCTGTTCCCAGACCTCCTCGCTGCGTCTCATTCAGTCATCCACAGCTGGGATGTCAGAGGGCATAGCAGTCGAAGGTGCCAGTAGGAGCTGAGATCCTAACACAGATTGAAAAGGAGTGAGTTGAATAGCAGAGCTTATTAATGAATTTTGAGCACTCTCTGCCCAAATGAGGTATCTAGACCAGTCAGCAGGGTTGCTGATACAAAATGCTCTCAGGAATTTACCTAACTCTTGGTTTACCCTTTCACATTGTCCATTCGATTGTAGATGGTACCCAGAGGTCAAACTGACATTTATACCTAGATGTTCGCAGAAACCGGACCGAACTCTTCATGTAAACTGGGAACCTCGGTCTGACACCATATGCTCAGGGATTCCAAAATTAAAAAATATGTGAGTCTATATGGCCATGGTGGTGTCAAAGCGGAAGGTAATGATTTGAATGGAACAAACCTAACACTACATGAGAAATGATCGAAAACGGTGAGAATAGTTGTAAATTCCTCTGAAGGCAGTAAATCAGAGACAAAATCTATTGCGATGTGAGACCAGGGCTGTTCAGAACTGGGAGTGGCATTAGCTTGTTGAAAGGTAGAGCTTTAGGGGTTTTGCTTTGAGCACATACTGAACATGAGGACAGGAACCGGTAAACGTCCTGTCATAACGTCTCCTACCAATAACGATTGGACAGCAACGTGACAACTCATTAATATTTTCCATTATATTTGAACACATATATATATAGCATAATCTGAAATGGTCAATTAACTAAGTTAGTTTTGATATTGCATTATTTATTACAGCCTATGTTTAATTTTATTTGTACATCTACTTAATTCAGAGCTCATTTAGTTATTTATTACATAATTATTTGACTGATCTAGATCTAAGTCTAGAATAGGCGAGACTGGCGAAAGCTGTAACCCTTTTGGCTCAGCCTATTTAAGTCAAGTCAAAGTTAAAGGTTATTAATGTAGCGCCTTTTACAACAAAAATCCGAGTCCAAGCCCCCATGATTGGCGCCAAAGGCAACAATGGCAAGGAAAAACTCCCTAAGAGCAAGAGGAAGAAACCTTGAGAGTGTTAGTATAAAATTTTAAAATACAGCAACAGGGAAAAACAGGTGAAGCAATGGATATAATTAAATAGTTTAAGTCTGTGCAGCAGCAGCAGCAGCGGCAGTATCATCAGAAAGGTCAGTTCATGCAGATGAGGTTTGCACAATGTGGCACAGCGAGAAGCACCATGGTGGTCAAATCGGTCCAGATGGCTGGTGAGCAGTGGCCACCCAATAAAGCAGAAGAAGATACAGCATCAGACCACACAGAATGGGCAGTTGTTCAACAATCACTCAGTTGTTGTTTACACTACAAATTTCAAATCTTAATAAGACACTCATATTTGTTTATCACAAGTAACAGAAGAAATCTACTACACATAAAAAAGGTTTTGTGTAGGTACATTTTTAATTCATCAAGGTATAAACAATGTAAATGTTCCCTCAAAGGTACAACAGTGGTTTGAAAGTCCAGTTGTGCACCTTAAATTAGTTTTTCCAGGTGAAAAGTACGTATTTGTACCTTTTCATAATCTAACGCATTAAAACAGAACAATAAAATAAGAAACCTGGAGACGAGACGGGGTGTGTGGAGTCAGTACAACATAGAACATACGATTTTAATGGATTATAGTGCAGTTATGTTCCCTGACTAAATGTACTGAGATGTACCCTTGAGGGTACCACCCCAGTGACAAGAGGGGCACTGCCCCAGTGACAGTCTTGTCCCTTTATTTCTGAGAGTGTACTTTGTCACAAAATGAGTAAGTTGGTCTTAAAAACAAGTGTTCCAATGTTACAACCTGTCCCACTGCCTGTATGGGTTGTAACAGTATATGTGGTAGACTATAATAATAAAAGAAAATAAGCAGAGACTAATATTTGGAGAATAATTTATTGAGGCGCATTTGTCATTTTTTTTATTTTAGCTGACAGTTAAAGCTCCTCAGTTTTTCTTATTGGAGTGAATAAATGTGAGCAGCCTTACTGTTTATTCTTTGTTAAATCTCTCTGCATTATAAACCCACTCTGTCCTCATCAATCATGATGCCACTTTCTTTTAGCTTGTACATTTAAAATAAGCATACATTTTGCATTTCAACTTAAACTACAGAAATTGGAGATTTATTAAGTAGAAATTAGCTGATCCAGCTCAGCACTAGCAGAACAGCAGGAGCAGCTGATGGGCTACGTTATTCCTCTCATTTTCACACAGAAAGCAGAGCATTTTGTGATTTTTTTCCTGTTTGTTTTGCCATTGTCCATTTTTTGAAATGATGTTCTGTGATATATTGTAGTAGCTGGCTAAACCCAGTTAACCCACATGTTCATTAGCTTTAATCACATTCTACTTTCAATTTCAGTGATTCAGTTTGAAAGGTATCAGTCAGTGTTAACTATCAACATATTATGAACATTTTTATAACATTATTGATATTTTAAGGTTGATTGAAAGTGTCTTGAAATAATTATAATAATATGTTTTGATAAAAGCCAATCTAATGACATAATATGGTGTGATGTAAGATTCCTTGTTGAAAATCTGTTGTTACTGTAGATAAAGAAGATATGCTGTTGATGCAAAATGAGGATCTCAAAACCTCCATAGTTCGCTGGAACACTGTAGCAATCGTCATTTGACAAACCATGACGGGCATTTATGCAACCATGCAACTATTGTTCTTCAAAATTGCTCATGTTTGTCTCAAAGAACCAGCAGGACCCCACTGCCTGGTGCCCTTAAATAAACCCGATGAAAAGACTGGCAGTGCACTCATGTTAGTTTCATGTAATCAGACTACTTTCATTTCATTGACAGAGCTCCACAAACAGATAACCCAATCTCTGTGAACTGTAAAACCATCAGCACCATTGCGCAGTGAGGTGGTTTCTGTTTCATAATCCACCGCAATTTGTGAAAACACCTCAACAGAGCACAAAGAACATTCTATTGTGGAAGTGAACACGAAGGCAAGTGTGAAGCAATGTGCCTGCTGGTTCAGCAACTGATTGGTTCAATATGCCTCTGTGGGTGCCTGTGTGCACTTTAACACTGTAAAATCCACTGATCATGCAGTGATCTATCTACCAGTCTGTCAGTTAGCAGAACATCTTGATAACAGTCTGATGAGGTTCTCACTGCAGTAAGAAATCTGAAAAACAAATGCAGGCCCAGCTGGACTTGCTGAGAAGCATTTGCTGAGAAGGTTCTCACAAGACTGAAAATGTTCTCACATAATCTCTAACCATGACAAAAGGGAGAGTCATCGTCTAAGCCAAGACATCATGTTCCCCATGAGACACAATATAGGTTTGTCATGAACAGTGGCATATCCAACATGATCTTAGCTTAAAATTGCTTTGAGGAAATGTGGAGAGTGAAATAAAGTGCTGTCAAAATATGTCAATGTGGTTCCTCTGTTTCATTACACTACGCTTCATTACACTAGTTGAATGACATGAAACATTCTAATGTGACAAATTAGCAGAAATAGAAGAAATCGGGTGAGGGGCAAACACTTTTTCACAGCACTGCACTTGC